CAACTTCCTTTCTAACTTATCTTTTTCTAAAAAATCTCCGGTAACCTCTAAACAAACTACTATTTCCCCTACTCAAAACAGAAAATCTGGAAAAAAAGTTTGGGTTAAACCTACTTCATCAATTAATTCAATCCCATACCCATAATGAGTAGGATTACGGCATCAACTATCTACTTCAACTAAATTATCTAATTCGGTAGCGGTTCTTTTTTCTAAATTATTTAAACCACTATATTTTTCGTGAATAGCATTTTTAAATGGTTGGTATTTGGTTTCTTTCTTTTCTACTTTAATCCCTTTTGCTTCATAAGGTTTTTCTAAACTAATTCGCAATAAACTTTCATTTCGGTAAGTATTAATTAACTCCTCACCAACTGCTCTTAACTCTTTGTCCGCCTCAGAACCCCAGCCAATTTCTACTTTAAACTTAGGGTCTTCTCACTCCAACATATTCCACACTTTTGTATTTTTGTTAACAATCACCCTTCTTAAAATAACTTGTGCTGGAACCATATTAGCCAATCCAAAATCTTCTTCCCAAATCCGATCTTGAATTATTTCAGGATTACCTAAATCTTTTTCTGTCCTTTGAACTTTACCAATATTTTGCCGGTGTTTCAAAGAATAGTCTTTCTCATAATTAGGAATTCTATTGACTACTTTCTGTAATTTTCTTTGAATATATTCGCTATCTCAGGTTAAAAAAGGAACCTTTTTGCCTATCTTATCCGGTTTAGGAGGAAGATCTTTTAAATAACTAATTCCTCTCTTAGGAGACTTAATTTCAATATCTCCCCCTAATTTTAATTTTTCATTCAGTTCATTAATAATTTTCTCAAATACCTTGTTCTCATCTACTCGAATATGAAAATAAGCCTTGTTTAGTTCTTCGCTAGGATAATAACGGCAATTAGGTTGTCGTAACACTCTTCCTATAATTTGCTCCACTGCCACTTCACTCCCAATAGTTTTATCAATATAGGCTAAGTATACCATCGGGTCATCTCAACCTTCAGTTAATGACTTGTTAAAAATAATGTGCTGATAATTACCGGTAATAAATTTCTCGTAAGTATTTTCTGGAGGACTAGACCTGCCTTTGCTGAATAAATTTTTCTGAAATTCTAAGTCCAGGGCATATTTTTCTTCTTTGGCAACTTCTATATCAGCATAAATAGCAATAGTATTAGGGTCAATTCCTTTTTGTTTAACTAGATGTCGCCAAATTAAAATAGGAGGAGCGTTCCTTAATTCAAAAGGAACTTGGGGGTTATCTCTTTTGCTTCCTTTAGTTTTGGTAGATGATAATTCCAACAAATTAGTCTTACAAACATAGATAATTTTAGG